GGGGGGGGGGGGGGGTTGGCACACAAAGAGGTTAGAGCTGGTTACAGCTCAGAGCTTGCTGCCCTGCCCTTCATGACACAGATCCACGCCCCCACCCATATTCATGGTGAGTATTCATTTGGGCTGTGTGAGATTGCGTGCTTAGCAGGCATGAGACCCGGGTTTGATCTTCAGCACCAAAATATGAAATGCAATATATAAAGCTGCTGGACTCTGAAAACACTGGAATGCAGCACAACTGTCCTATGCTGAATAAAGGGCTGAGCATTCTTTTCTCCTACAGAGATTCTCACATCCCTAAGCAGAGGTAAACTCTTAAGAGGAAGAACTAACTAACCATGATTCAGCACATTTACAAAAGGCTTCATACCCATTCTTAGAAGGACAACCAAAGGAAACTCCATCTGAGGTCTAAACAATGGTATCTGCTTGCCCTTTGATCTCAGTTTAAGAACACTTTGTACAACTTTTTTGCGGGACTACCACTGAATTTCACATTTAAATCTCTTCAGAGAACATCCACTGCTTTGTCAAGCCATGAGCCATACTCCTGCAAATTTTCTCCAAACTGCTTCTGCTGTTGAGTAGCTTGCAGGCATGGATTTATTTTCTGCTAACAAAAATCTTCATAAGTACAGGCAGCTTAAATGAAAAATAGTCCTACTGATCCTATGTTTATGAGGGAAAGACAGTACAGTGTATCTGGTTACAAAGACAAGGAGGGAGTATTCCATTTTTCTTCTAATTTATGTTTCCCTAGAGTAATTTTGTTCAGAAGATTGCCAGCATTTTTAGTACAATAAGTTTCTTGTTACTTGGACTAACACAGAGTGATTCCCTTTTCTGAGCACGATTCGAGTTTGTTTTTTTATTTCATTTAATCCTAGCATCAGGAAATCAACACCTCATTAATTCAAAATAAATAAATGAAGTCTGAAATGCAGAAAATTGCAGATTTAAGGAAGCATCAATTTTACTCTCACACGGAACGCGTATTACATATCAAGATACATTTGGGAAACGCTTTGTGATACACATCAAATACCACGTATCTCAATGGTCTAACTTGTTACTCAGTAAAAAGCAGGTGGCCCATTTCTAAAGAATCCGATCTTTTGGTTAGTGAAATGTGAATTTAAAAGCTGAGATACCGGTACTATCTCCCTTGTCAACATTTTCATCTTTTCAAAGCAACTTTCCTGCGCTCACCATTATGTTTGATGCACAGGCTCCTAGAAGAGGTTAGCAGGATTTTGGCCTCTGGTGGCTGGCATCACAGACACACAAACAAACGAGCAAGCAGATTTACACAGAAAACCTCCACGTGATCAGCACAAGGAAGGAAATAAGCAGGGTGCTGTGGAGGCAGAAACTCGGGTGGAGTGGTCCCGGTTCACACACCCAGAGAGGCAGAGAAGGGCTTTTCTGGGATGGTGCGTTTTCAGCTGGGAGGGACCTCAAGGATCTTTTGGGATGCTTCTCCAAGGTTACTAAATCGACAAGGTTGTTTATGAGGCTGCCAGGGCATTTTTAGCAGGGAAAAATAAACAGAAAATGGCCCCTTTACCCTTGATTAAATGCAGGTTCACGAGCTCACCTGCACAGCAAGTGACCAAGCCACAGCAGTGATAGACAGTGAGTCCTTACTCCCAGCCTGCTTACCCAGACAGAGTTTAAAATAGTCAACAAAAACAACCACAAGCTGGTCGGTCAAATGACCAGCATTCCGGCTAGGAGAGACATTCATCCTATTGATTCATACTTCCTGATAGTCCTGTTGCATGACAAAGCTCAGGGTGTTTTAAACATATGACTAAACTATTCCTCCAGCCCCACAGAAGAGGTATGTTTACAACCATGGAAAACTTTCCCTTGTAACTTCTGCTGTGTAGCTTTCTTAATCCATGAGATAAATGCACCGCTATCTTGTGCAGGTTCTTTAATAGATGAGTCATGGGAGACAGTAGTATACTTGACACTGACATCAATTAGGAAATCTGTGGAATCCTCCCAACATCCTTATTTACAGCAGCCACATTGCTAAGCAATTGCTTTCTTTAAAAGACCTGTCCTTCTCTTGCTCGGAGCCATAATAATCAGATTTTACCCTATTGTGAAATGCCCCTTTCTCCCTGCCTAATGGATTAGGGTTAAATAGAACAGCTTGATTGTCAGCTGCATGGGTCATAGCTTGGATTCTACTTACCTAGGAAAGGGTTTCTCCTTTAATGGCATGGGGCCCAGCACTGCCACTACACGAGGCCTGACCTTATCTTCACAATCCAAGGGATGGGCTAGGAGAGGCTTGGGGTAGCGGTCCCTTCCCAGAGCTCTCTTTCAATGCCACAGTAGCCTGTCCTCATGCCTGGAATTATGTTACTGGTGAGCTCTCTTGGAACTTTCCAGATTTCAAACAAATCTTTTATGAAAAATGAGAACACGAGTAGACAGATACTACATTAAACCATCGCCTTAGAAAGAGTAGCTGTCAACCAGCTTCGAATAGTGTGATTCAGAAGCTGTGGGTATCTACAGACCACAAAAGGTCAGAAAAGCAAGGAACAAGGGGCACTTGGAGGTCACTAAGCACAATAAACGTCACATACTTTACAAACTTCCCTGGAGCCAGCCCTTGAAATTTCGAATACCATCTGAAGCTCCCGAGCTCTGGGATCACTTGAGGATGGTTTAAAAATACAGACTTCTGGTTTCTACCCACACACACACACACACACGCTGACTGACCTAGACTGGAAGTCACCGGGCATCAGAATTTTTTTAAAGCCCTAGGTGATTCTGACACGTAGAAACATTTGGAAATTTAGCTCTTAGTCTTTTACTAGGATGGTACATGGATTCTCTTCAGATGTCAGGCTTTTCTGTGCCAGAGGTTCTTGGCCTTGGTAGCATTTTGGAAAAAATCTAAGATACTTTTTTAAAAAAATCAAATAAAGATGCCTGATCCAGGGATGGTGGTGTACATCTGTAATCCCAGGGCTCCAGGAGGCTGAGGCAGTTTGAGCCCCAGGTTGGGCAACTTAGCAACTTGCAAGACCCTGTCTCAAAAGTAAAAAATAAAAAACAGGATAGGGATGAAGTTTTGAGCAAAGGCCCTGAGTTCAGTCTCCAGGGCCTGCGACAATAGCCTGAACCCTGATGCAATGGTGCTGAGTCTAGAAGACCGAGGATCCCTGAGTCCTTAGGTGACCCCCCGCCCCAATAATGCCAGCCAGCAGCTGCAACTGAGAACCACGGTCCAAGTTTCACAGGCATTGATTTCCAAACCTGGAACCTGTGGTTATCCGTGGAGGACCCAAGATTGTGGGTCTTTCCACACTCATATTCAGGTGAGGACTCTCCCCAGAGGGCAACAAGACGTTTCTTCCAAAGTGGTCTGGAAGCTTGGAGGAAGGGCGGAAAGGGGGGCGTTGAGGGAAAGAGCTGAGGAGTGGAATTCTTAAATCAGAAGCGTAAAAGAGTAAAGAACAAAACTGCCTCCCCCAGCCCGGGCTGCCCCAACCCACTGAGGAGTATTCACTGACATTACAGAGAATCTCCTTAGGGTGCTTCCTGGAGGTGGCTCTACCTTGGATTTGGTTCCAATAAATTGTGAAAATCCTTGTCCAATCAGAACCCCTGGCAGCGGAAGGAGGCAGATTGGCAGGCTCCGCGCCTCCACTCCCTGTGAGATTCTGTTTCACGAATTTCCCAGGAGGATTTCTGCACAGCCTGGATGCCAATCTTCCGGCCTCCGCACCCTTGGCTCCTACCCTCCCGTCCTCCGCGCCCCAAAGCTCAGCGGAATTGAGAATCACAGATACACTTGTTTTTAGAGGATCATCCAGGTATTTTGGGGGGACAGGCGCACGTGCATAACGCCGTTAGGGGGACGGCCATCTCTCCTGGAGCCCCTGCGCTACTTTGGCAAGAATCTTACACATCCAGGAACGCGGGCACAGCTGCGTGTCCCATCCCAAACAGGAAGCCCTCCGAGACGCACCCCACGCTCTGCTGCGCCCATTCGGGGCGTGGCGAATGCGCCCCAGCTCCCTCTATAGAGGACGCTCTCCCTCCATCCCTGCCTACGCTTCTGAATGAAGAAAGGCACAAAACAGAATCAGAGACTCCGAAAAGATTCTTCTTCTGCTCTTCCTCATTTGCAGAGGAGACGACCGAAAGTGGGGAAAGGCTTTGTGACTCGGTCCCGGTTTGCCACAGAGCATTTGTGGCACAGCCCGATTTAGCCGCCCTTGAATTTCCATTCTGTTGCCTGGCAACGGGATCAGCCCAGCTCAGCGCCCAACCCCGACCCTACTCCGCACCCTTTCCCTGCCCTTGCAGCTCAAGCCGCTTTGATGAAAGCGTCAGCCCGTGGGGACCACGGCCAAGGGCATATGCACAAGGGTCCTGTACGGATTACCCCAGTGGGCTGGGGTGCGGCCCCCGATAAGCGCCAGCTCCGCCTGGCTGAGACCCGCGCGCGCTCCGTGCTCTTAGCGGGACCTTTCTCTGCCACCAAAGCCTCCTTTCCCCCAACTCCGTAGATTTCTGTTAAAACGCTCGGGCCAAGTTTCCAAAGTTCTCAAATGTTATCGGAGTCCCTAAAAATCGCGGTAGGAAAAATAGCAAAGGATCAAAAGACAGCTCCCAAGGGAGGGAGGGCTGACAAGGCTTCTCCTTCCCAGGATGGCCACTCATGGGACTTTTCCGCCAGAGTCAACTTAACCGGAGCGGGACAGGAGTGCGAAAAGCGCGGACCTCACTTGGGGCGCCCGCGAGAAAAGTGGCAGGGACGCCAGTGCTAGAGCTACGCAGCGCGCAGCGGGGCCGGGCGCTCAGAGCGCAGGTGGCGCAGGTGGCGGAGCCCGCGCGTCCCCGCACCCCCGCCACACTAGGCGCCAGGCAGGGCCACCGCGTTGGGGGGACTCCTCACCCCTTCACACCCTCACCACCCCCAAGCCGGGAATATTGTAAAGTAGCGAAATGTCCTAAGTCCTTACCCAGGTTCACAAAGCTCATGACCATGTCCGCGTCGCTCAGGAAAGCGCTGTCCTGTGAGGTGGCCAGAGGGGCCGCGCTGCCGCCGCCAGGTGCCGGAGCCAGGAGGCTCTTGCGCAGGAGGGGATGTGTGGCTCCGGGCGGTGGCCGGAGCCTGGACGAGCTGGCCCCTCCGTGGAACCCTGGGTGCCTCGGGTCCCCCTCCAACGCCCCATCTTCGTCGTCATCGGCGGACAGGGCGTGGTACAGATCCAGCATGAAGAGGGGCGCAGACTTCAGCCGCCCGGGAGGGGGCTCCCCGCGGGGCGTCTGCTGCTGTGGGAGAGCGGGGCGCTGCGGCTGCTGGAGGCCGTGGAGGGGCCGGGGCCGATGCGGGAGCCCCAGCACCGACAGGATTTCCTTCTGCATTTCTCGCTTCTCGTGCGTCTTCAGGCGCCGATAGAGGAAGCCCGAGGACGAGGACTGCGGCGGCAGCGGCTGCTGCTCGGAGCGCGAGGGGCTCCCGCCGTCCCCAGGCAGCTGCGCCCCGGCGGCGGCGGCGGCGGCGGACAGGGGAGGGCGCAGCGGCAGGGGCCCGCAGCAGCTGCACAGCAGTCCCCACCACCAGCACAGCCACTGCGCCCTGCGCCCCAGCCCCGGCATCCCCGCCCGGCCGGGCGGCCCCGAGGGCCACTCGAGGCGTCGAGCGGCGGAGCGCCGCGGTTGCCCTGGGTGCGAACAACCCCCGCCACCTCTCGGCGGGCTCGCTTCCCCTTCCTGGCCCTCAGTCCTTATCTCTCATGGTCGTCCGGGGCACCCCCAGGGAGCCCAGTCTGGAGGGCAGGCAAAGGGGCGAAGTGCAAGAGCCCGAAGTCAGCGTTGGTCCAGGCCAGGTGCGTCCACTTCGGGGTGCGCCGGGACGGGTCACGGCGCGGTCACCCGGGCGCTGCCGCCCGCACGCTTGCACTGCTCCGCGCCTCGCGGCTGGTTAGCTGCGCTGGACCGGGGCGACGGGGCAATGGGGCCTCAGCAGCGGGGCTGCGCGCCCGGCATCCTCCCCGCGCGCACCCCTCCTCGGCCCGCAGGGCCACCGTGGAGTTCACCCCACCGCAGGGCCCAGGCTGTGGCGACGAGGCGTCCTGAAATGCCAGTCGTCTTCGCGAGGCTAAACTTCCTTCTGGCTCTCTAACTCTGCGCCCCTCGGGCACTGTCGCCCCCCTCTCCAAATCGCACACCGCTCCCCTCCCCAAACCGAGGCGCCTAGGGTCTTGCTTTCCGTTCAGAGCTCCCCTGGCTGTCCGGCCAAGCCGATTCGCAGAAGGGTTGGGAGGAAAGGGGACCGGTGCGCGGGGCAGCGGCCGCGCGTCGGCGCCGGAATTCGCAGCCTCCCGCCTCTCCGCGCCGCGCTCCACAGAGCGGCCAACGTGGGCTTTTTGCTGCGCGTCCAGCTCAGGTACCGCACTCCAGCCCCCGGGACTCCCCGCCCTCCCGAGTGACCGACAGGCTGGGAACCAATGAAGAGAGAGCTTCACGGGTTATTTAAATACGCCCGCCCCCTTCTTTCACCCTCCCTTCCCGAGGGGCGTCGCCTCCGCTGTGGGTAAGTTTCAAGTACAGAGAATTCTTGGAGGCACCCGGGGAGTCACCGGGTACCAAAGGCACAGGGGTCACCGCTAGGAAGAGTGATCTGATCAGCGCGCCAAGAGAAGCACTTCTTTTTTTTTCCTATTACGTCAAAGGCCTAGATTATGTTAAATAAAAGTAAACAAATCTATTAAATTAATATCGCCTGGATTAATTGAAAAAAAATAGGTCGTTTTCCCGTCTCCTCCTTAGTTTCTTCTGGATGCAATGTAGGCGTCTAGCGGACACGTGGCTTTCAAAGGCAGCTGCTGGAAGCTGGGACACACCCTCCCAGGAAGCTGCTCACAGAGAGGCCACACAGAGGGCCAAGCATAAGCCAGCCTGGAGTCCTGAGGTTTGAATATTCCGTTGAATATTCTGACTTATCTATTCACTGGGGCTTTGGTTTGGCTTGTTAAGCAGCAACCAAAAGAAAGGTGTGATCCATTACTGTAACAGAAAAGCCAAGCATACTTTCTTTGGAAATGCCTCACTGCTTCTCCAGTTTGTCTATTAATGTTGCATTTAAATACAACCTAGTTTACATCATGCAAGGTTAAACCTGGGGATACCTGGTACAGATAATTCCAAGCAGGGAAGGGGTTTGGCATGTGCCCTGAATGGCGGGGTGATGGGACCCTGAGACACACTGCTGTGGATTTTACACACTGTAACACACCAACAGCAACTGTGCCAGTAAGGATGCAAATTCATTCGCCTCTCCTGTCTCCAAGAATACCAGTCATCACTGGACTCTAGAAGCAAATTTGCTTTTAACGTTAGATCTTTGTGCCTGGTAAAAGTACATCAAGCAGATTCTGTGATTAACTGGGTTGGCAGTTTTAGCTCACATACTCCAAGGTATGGGGACCAGGACTAAGCAGTGTAGACCATGAGATTCGCAGCCTTATGAAATCACGGGATTTCTGCTGGGCCAGATCTTATGAACTTTCCCATACTATTTCAAAGAATCAATTTTGAATGGGTACAGGTCTTTACTTCCAAGCAACCACTGGGTCCTGCTTTCCAGTTTTCTGTTGGCCTGGGCACAGTGCTTATTCAGGACAGTCCTGTCCACTGACACACAACCACACAACCTCAGCAACACTGAAAGCCAGCGTCTAACCATCTGCAGGGCCTCTGTCCATGACTACTTGGTCTGGGATGCCGGGTCCCTTAGAATTGAAGAGCTGCATCATTTCTTCTAAGACATGTGACAAGCCTACAGTCACTGCCACACTGCACATAGCAGCCATTAGCTCTGCTCAGAGATCCACAATCCCAGCAAATATACGTAGGTTTCCTGCCATGGACCCCCTGCTTCCACAAAACCTAGCTGCACAATTTTTTTTTTCTTTTTAGAACTTCCAGGAAAAACAGATGAAAGCAAAGCAGCTCCAGCTTGTGAAGGCAATGAGAAACTAGGAAACTGTAAAAACCTTAGCACGGGGTGAGAACTCACAGCAGGTCTATGCCATTTAATGCACAAAGTCGGACCTATGTGACCTACCTGTCACTTAGGCATCTACAGGGGAGAACCTAGAGAAGAAGAACACACACCTATACCATCTCCCCTTTTTTTTTAAACTGTAGTAGAGAAAGACGAGGCACCGATGGCACAGGAGTCCAAAATGACGCTTAGTGACACATTATCAAGTAGACTTCTGAGCAGCAGCCCTCCAGGTCTGTCCTGGGCTCTCCACCCCCACTGAGACGGACTTCTGAAAATAAGAAGGTGCTAATGGTGACTCCGGATGGACACGTCTCTCTTCAGAGCCAGAGGAAGTCTGAAGAAGCTGTGAAATGGGACATGACAGTGATCATAAGGACAGTGACAGTCAGCTGACAGACGTATTCCGATGACAGTACCATGTGCTCCCAACCTGTGTGTGCCGTGTTTGCAGAGAAACACACAGACAAGCCCTTCGATGGCCTGGGGGCCATGAGGGTGGGAAAGAGGCACGGTCCACAAATTTCCATACGCTCAGGTTTAGGACTGCTGCTTCTCGAAGTTAACTGGGATGCGGTGGACAAAGAATCCTCATCACCACCCCACCTGCTCCCCGCAGAGACTTGGATTCTCCCTCTGAGATCTAAGAATGGGGGCCCCCAATAAAGCCCACATGTGATTCAAGAGGATGGGGCAGGATGGAGTTGAAAGGAGAGCAGCTGATCTGGCTTTGAAGTTTGCAGGAACTTGTGTAAACCGCCTTGAGAAAATCAGAGGTCACTTCGCCCCCTGCAGGACACGGAAATATTACCACCCCCTGCCCCTGTGCTCCTTGGACAAGCTTCATTAAGTTCTCTGTGTGCATCTCAAAAACATGGGGTGGGGTGGGGTGGGGAGGGAAGAGGAGGCGTTCGTTCCAAAAGCCAGATGTGGGAGCCAATCCATAGCAGACATCTGGTTGCTTGGCTGATATTCCCTGCAGATGGCCGACAGTTTCTGGAAATAGGTTGCTGTCCTACCCTGCCCCATTTGACGAGGAAGTGAGGAACATTCGCTCTAAGACACAGGTTTATCCCCCCAAATGTGGCGACACTGGAAACAGTGCGAATCCTGTACCTAGATGTTAATCAAGGGACGATGTAATTAATTCACATTGCCAACTCTCTAAAATGTAGTTCGCCTGGTTCCATGTATATTATGAAGGGTTGTGTTAAACATAACGCACTTGACCAAATAACTTCTATTTTGCAAAGGTACTGCTTACTAATTCGATACATTAAATACTCCCTATACTTTCCTATGAGTTATAGCATTAGTAATAAGTTGCAACTGAAGCTATAATTTTATATTAAATCACACATTGGCCCCATTTGACTGCCTTTCCGGAAGCCCTAAGTCACCGCTTCTACAATTAACATAAAAGTTTTACAAAATGTATGGCTGGGGTGTTTAAAAGCCCTGAGATCTGAGCGTTCTGCGTCCTCAAAGCTCTATTCCAAAAACTAGAATTTTATTGTTAAGATGAAGCGTAAGGATTGAAGTATTTTTAATATTAATTTCAAAACATAACAATCTGCTCGACTTTTAAAAAATATCAGTTTGGTGCTGAGCAATTAAGTCACTGTTTTTAGGGTATGGGAAATGAAAATCTGTGAGTTAAATAGATACTGCTTCTAAAAGCTACACCTGTAAGGCGGCTTCCAAAATATGAGTCTCATCCAAAAATCTGTGGCAACATTTATGTTCACTCAATCTCTCCCTTCACTGTCTGTTCAAAAATGCTGGGCATTCACACTTCAAAATATCATTCAAGCCATCATATTTTCCTACTCGTGAAGGACATCTGGTGGCAAAGTGAAAAACTAATACATAAATCTGTTTCCAGAGATTTTTTTTTTTTTCCACACTGTAACCCAAATAGCAAATCTGTTACTTGTGTGTGTTTCAAGCACTTCCCACAAGTTTGGGTCTCAGGATTCAGGCTGCCTACAAAGTATCAAGCAATAAAGTCTTTGGAGACATCCAGCTGATTGTTAAATCATGCTTTAACTGTTTTTCATTGGATAACTGACAGGTAGACTAAGCCTGAGAGTTTTCTTTTGCTGAACAAAACAATGCCAAGCACATTTCCAGGACTAGCTTTGCCAACCCTGAACAGTTTTGTTCCAAGAAAGCACTGGGACCCTTAGCTGGGCTGGGTAGAGCCCAAGGCTCCCTGGTCAGTTTGGGTCCCTGATGAGCCTCTGTGTCCACTAGGAGGTTACATGAAGACATGTTGCCAAACTTCTAAGTGAGCACAGCAGTGACCAGAGGTGTGGGGTTACCAGGGTAACCACGATGAATAAAGTCAGATCAGAATGAAAGTCACAGACTTTCTGCTTTCAAAGGAGGAGACCAAAACTAACTATGCAGGCTGCAACCATCCATCCATCTATACAGGTGTCTGTCCATCCATCCATTCATTCATTTAACAAGGATCAAACGCCTATGAGAAACATTCTAAGTTTGGAGATAGCAAACAGAGATACCCCCCCCCCCAGATTCTAGACAGGCAGACAGACTTGGGCAAAAGAAGAGACTTTACTGTGGTGCTGTGGCAGGCAAGATATCGACACCAGTGATGTATGTCCCAGCTGTTACACCTGTGAAAATGTGACCATAAGTTAGAAAGGGGCCTTTGATCTTGAAATACAAGCACTGCCTTGGATCACTAGAGAGTGGCCATGACCATCACATACCGAAAAGGACGGTAGACGGACAGGGCAGCCTCAGAGGAAGCTCACCTGTCTTTCAGGCTTTGAAGATGATGAGGACACAGGGCAAGGACTGCTGGTGGCCTCCAAGAACAAATCCCAGGTGACAGCCACCAAGAAAACAGCAGCAGGGCTGGGTGGCTGCTCAGAAAAAATAAAAATTTAACCATAAAAAAGAAGACACAAAAGCAACTCCAGTCTTACTTCTGAATTTGTTCAAAGAGCTAAAAGAGCCAAGAAACAGATTCTCAAAGAGAGCCCCAGACAACGACCAAGCGAGAGAGACCCCTTGATGCCGGCCTGGGGGACCCAGGGCAGAAGCAGGAGCCAAGCCACTTGGAACTGTGCTGCCCCTGCCCCTAGCTGTGAGAAGAGAAGTGTGTGTTCTCTTAAATCACCAAATGTATGATATTTTGTTTCCACGACAAGAAGAAACTAATACATATTTAGTATGATGAGTGCCGTGGGGAAAATTTAAACAGGGAACAGCAAGTTAGGGAGGAGCATGGCACCGGTCAGGACAGTCATCACAGGGAAGGAGCCCTTGAGTGTAATAAATGGAACCAACCAAGGAGATTTCTGGGGGGCTTTTAGGCAAGGCCATGCCCTGGAGA